TATTTAAATTGGATTTAATGCTATCCTCAAATGTGTAGTATTTTTTGTATTTTTGGATTTTTTTCATCATTTTTTTTACATTTCTAAAAATAAAATTGTAATTGTAATTTAAAATTATAAATAGCAATAAATTAAATAAATATGAAGGGTAAATAATTGAGGATGTTAAAATTTTACTTTTTTAAACACCAATTTTTATTAGAATCATTTTATCATTCAGGTCAAAATTCATAAAATAGTTTTTTTTTATTATTTTGTATTATTATTTCGGTTAAGAAACTTGACCGAAATAATACATGATATTATATTATGAAAATTACAATAATTTTGGTTAATTTACTTGACCGAAATAGTATGTGTCAATTACCAAAATAGCCATGTTGATTAAATTGGTCAATATTCTTGACCGAAATCTAATACCAGGAAATCAATCATCCATGACTATTTCGGTCATTACACTTGACCGAACCTTATCATTAAAATATTGTTTTAATAGTTCGGTCAAATATTTTCACCGAAACTAAGTTTTTTTTAATGATTTTTTACCCCATATTTGGTCAATGATATTAACCGAAATAATGAATAATTTCGGTCAAGATAAAATTCCATCCGAAATTGTATTTCCATTAGTGCTTATTTGGTCCAACAATTCGGTTAAACATCTTGACCAAAATAGTAGTTTTTCAGTCAAAATGTGGGTTTGTTCGGTCAGTGTGACTGACCGAACTTGTATGGTTTTCTAGTAGTGATTTCTTCTAATTTTCTAAATTGAAGATCTTAATTACAATACGGGATTAGGAACCGTTTTTTAAGAAAAAAGAAAAAGGATTGAACTCTTAAGTCTTAATCATTCAAGCCTATTCTCAAACCAAACTCGCCCCTCTGTAAAGGAGAAGCTCGGCTTGCATAATTTAATTGCAAACCATGTTGCAACTTGCTGTAGCATTCCTTTCATCAAAACCCTTTTTTCTTTTTAATTTCAATTCAAAAATTATTTATTTGAATTTATAAAATGTGAGTGAAATATAATAACCAGTTAATATGACTTTTAAGCAAGGTTTATCCATTAGAAAGAAAGTATTTTATTAAATGTTTTATTTAAAAATTAAATATATAAAAATATAAGTATATATACTGATATTAATTATGATGATGTTACATTAAAATAAGGTTTTTTCATTATTCACCATTATACATGCTTTTAGTTTAGAAAATAAAAATATTATAGTTATAATATTATATGATATTATAAATTTAAAATATAAAATGTTAATACATAATTAATTCTTTTTATTCAAGAATTTACCTTTAAATAAAATCACATTATACTCTTAATATTATACTCTATATATTTATTTAATATCATATTATAATTATATATTTATAATTTAATGTAATATTGTAAGTATAGCCTTACTACCTTATAAAAACACTTAACTCTTTTCCTTTTCTCTGTAGTTTTTTGTTTTAGTACTACTAGCTTTCATTTTTCAGCTATTATTGTTTTAAAACTTCTAATCTTACGACCACCCCTAAATCCGTGCACTCCGTGTGCGTCTGGGAATATGGATAGGGTGTTTTTCGTGTAATTGCAAAGTCTTTTAAGATGCGAACTCCATCAAAGTATCTAATAGTCGCGTGCCTTATTAAAGTTGGTGTATTGTTTATAAGATTTGAAGATTAAATTCCTAATTGTTAATATCTAACAATACTAACTTACTAATTATTATTCTTATAAAAAAAAAAATCTTTTAAGATACAAGTGCAATTGATTTTTTTTTAGACTACATGTTCTTTTAACATTGTAAAAAGACTAAAGATATAATAGATTCACAATAGTTTTATAAATAAAATTAGAAATTTTATTTTAAAGCTTTAATTTATTATACAATTATAAAAATATTTATTAATATATTATTTAATTAACTAATCCTCTCTTTAGTTCATTCCTAAAAATTTGAAAAGTCATTCCCTAACCCTTTGAATCTTCTTCAATATTAGCATTAAATATTTTAATTTTATGTTAAATTATTATGTAGTTTTTAGTAATTATATATTATATTATATTTTAAAATTTTTAATTAATTAATAATTATTAAAATTGACAATATATTATTCATAACATTTTTGAAAAATAAATAACTAAATATTAAAATAATTATAAGCTATAATTATAATATAGTGTAGTTCAAGATAGCTAACGGTATAACTACAATAGCTCATAGCAATCTCAAACGTACCATTTGTCTATATTAGTAATTTTCATTTAAAATTATTAAATATATCTTTAATTTTAGAATTATAATTTATATTATAATTGTAAATTAATATCTTATTATAAGGTAAATATTAAAATATATAAAAATATAATTTTTACAAATTAAAAAAAAAAATAGAATGTTCTAAATCAAAATATAAAAGGCAAAGCCTTTTAACCTTATTTTTTTTACGTTTTCACTTAGGGTAATGCTATAACATTTTTTTTTTTTTTTGTACATTTTCACTTAGGGTAATGCTATATGGACTGATCAATCCCTAAGCCAATTGGTCTCTATATATATATTTTTTTATTTTTTCTTCTTGAATTTAAATTTTAAAATTTCACTTTTTGGTCTTGCAATTTTAATTTTTAAATTATTAAATACCTAAACTTTTAAATATTAAACCTTAAATCTTAAAAATATAACCCCCAACGCATCAAATAGTAAATTTGGAAAAATTTAAATCCTAATATTATAAAATATAAAATTAAAAAAATCTAAATCCTAATGTCATCAAATATAAAACCCAAAAAATTTAAACCCTAATGCCTTAAATACTAAACCCTAGAAAAATCTAAACACTAAACCTCAACACCCTAACCACAAAACTCTAAAAGTTTTAAACCATAACAACATTAGTTTAAGTTAGTTTAAACTAAAAAGGTTGAGGATCTAAAATAAATTTAAATTGTTAAAAGTAGGAACTAAATAACAAATTTGCCCTAAATAAAGGAAATCTATTTGAATTGGCCTTTGGTCGGCCGGCTAGGGTCGGTCCCCCTAGTATTTTCCTTACACTTACCATTGCTTTATCTTTCATTCATTTTTCATGAAACTCCATCTCTTAACTTACTGTTCATATTTTATTATCACATTAATCTCCCCACTCTACATTTCTCTCTCCTATGTATGTTAATAATTTACTTTTTATTAATCCGTCTCTTTTTATCCTTTCTTTAATATTATTTTATTTAAATCACTCTTTGTATATGTAATAATAAGCACCTCTTTTTTTACATAATTTTCCTTTCTTAGTTGTCTATATTTAAAAATATTTTAAGTCAAAATATAAAAGACACAATTTATTAATATTATTATTTAATAATTTTTCACTTATATTTATTTCATCTCTCATTAATTTTTCTTAAGACTCCACCTTTTAATTTCCTCTATCACATTTTATTATTATTATATTTTTTTTCTACTTTACATTCCTCTCTCTTTTCCTATATGTATTAATATTATATCTGTTAATATTTTCTCTCATTATTCTCCCATATCTATTAATTTTTTTCTATTATTTTTTTTCTTAATCATTCAATCATTCATATTTCCTTCTACCTCCATTGATTGTTATTATTATATATCTCACTCTTTTACCTCTCCTTCCCCCTCCCTTTTCTCTCTCTCTCTCTATATGTTTAAAATGTTTTAAGCCAAAATATATGTGGTACAGTTTCTTAACATTATTTTTTAATTATTTTTAACTACATTTACTTCATTGCACACATTATTTTTTCGTGTGACTTTATCTTTTAGATGCTCACTCATATTCTATTATTATATTTATCTTAATACTTGTTGATGACCACTTTTCAAAATTAGAAACAAGAAAAAAATAATAAAAAATTAAGTATGAAAAATATAAAAAGAGTCTTCTCTCATCCAAATTATAAGATAGGACAAGTCATTTAAAAATAGGTCTGCATAGAGATCGAAGTGCGAGAGTTCAATTAAAAGTAAGGAAAGACATATGCGCACCTTATAATCCTCCGTTTAAAATACAGTTTCATACTTCAACATTAAGGTTTTAATTCAACTTATTTATTATATCTTTGTTTAGATCTTAATAGGCAAACTTAAAAAAAAAAAAAGAAGGATGAACCAAATTGCAATATTTTTAAACTTTTGGACAAAAATGGGTAAAATCAAGAACACGTATGCACAATGAGCACAAATAAAAATTAAATGGACTAATTTGAATAAATTCAAAAATATAAAGGACTAATTTGAAAATTTTGAAACCTTTGGATTAAATTGCTTAATTATGAAAATTTTGGGTGAAATTGAAATAAAAAAGAGATAATTTTGGCTTTGACTAATATTAAAGAAAATAAAGGATTGAAATTAACAAATCATAATAATTAATTTAATTGAATGATTAATTTAACATCAATTAAAATTAATTAATTATATTTATTAAAATTTAATTAAAATAATTAAATAAATTTAATTATCTAAAATTAAGTTCAATAGACATAATTAATTTATTTTAATTAAAATTAATTAATTTTCATTGATCATAAATTAAATTGATTATCCTGATCAATTAATTACTTTTTTTTTCTATATTTTATTTTATTCCTTTACTCTGTTTTAGTTTTTATTTTTTCTCACTGGATTGGGCCGGATCTACCTGGCCCAAAAACACAAACCCTCTAACAAAACATGCAAGCAACAGATCACATATAAAAATACGAGACTTGAATTTGGGGTTCATCTCATTTCTAGTAAAAGAAGCACATTAATCAAGCACATAAACTGAACAATCCTTTATTTTTTTCATTCATTTCCAGCAAACATATACAAGTTTAACATCAAGTCTGAACAAATACCAAAAAAAAGTGAAACATCAACAGAAAGATAAAGAAAAAAAAAACAAACACAGCGGATTTTTAGAGGAAAACAGATCTTGATTTGATGGGAGGGATCTTACCCACGGGATCAAGCTCCCTTCATCTCCTTCACCATTTTCCTAAAAAGCCCTTTGTTTCAGAGCTGCACCTATCAACGATGATAAACCCAGAAAATGGAACTCCTCTTGAAGCTCGACGATCTCCTCTCTCAACCGCGGCTTCCTTCCAACAGAAGATCCCTCTTTCCTCGATTCCGGAACTCCCTTTTCTACTCCTAAAACCCGATTCCAAAACTCACCTCTCCAGGCCTTCTAGATGTGCTATTTTTTGGGCCTCTCCAATCTTTTTCTTCTTTACCCGGAAATGCACTTGGATCTTAAATCTGCACTGATTTCAGCCTCTTATCACCCCATTCATGATCTGTGGTAGCATAGATCTGGTCTGCAGATCTGTTTCAATTGGGGGAGATCGAGATTTCTCCGAACCGCCGAAGCTTCGCGTGGACAGCACCTCCATCACCGATCAATAGATCTAGTTCTCTTCACCCCAATTTAGGTGTTCACTCGCCGGCGTGGGTCATGCTGGCTCGTGGAAACGGTTCGAGAAAGGGTGAGATGGTGGTTTCCGGTAGGTTGAATCGAAACAAGGGGGTTTTGGTATGGAAAGAGAAAGGATGGCCATGATAGGAAAAGGAGAAGGAAAACAAAGATATTGCCGGCCATTTTTTTGAGAAAGAAGGGATGGCTGCTGGCTGTTTTTGAGGAAGAGGAAATCCATGGAGAAAAGATAAAGGGTCACGTGACAGAGGAAGAAAAAAATTCGAAAGGGTTTTTGGGCATGGAAGAGAAGACCATGATAGAGGAAGGAGAGGACAATCGCCGGCAATCCTTGAGGGATGACTACCGGTTGAAACTTCGCGAAGAGATGGAGAAGCAGAGGATCTGTGAGGAAGAAGTGGATTTGAGCCTTTTCTCTCCCTTTTTTTAAGTTTTATTTTATTTTATTTTATTTTTTACCTTTTGGCATGAAACGGTAAGTTTTGAGTTTGGGATTGGGCCTGAATGGCTAGTGGGCTCAATATTGAGTATGGGCTGGATTTATGGTTTTAACTTGATGAATTTCACCCTCAAACTTTTAATTTCTTCAATTGAGTCCTTTCTTTCAATTTTTTCCAATCCTCTTCACGAAATCCCTTTTTTGCTCACGAACCTAAAAATGAAAACAAAAACAAAACATATTAGTTAAGATAAAGATAAAACTAAAAATAAAAATTTATTAAAAATTTGAGTTATGATAGTACTTTATAATTGTCCCTTTTTTAACCTATATATTAATAATTTGTATTCGATTATATTATTATTTCCTTGTCCTTCTTAGGATCTCTAATTTCTATATTGATCTTAATTATTCTACTTATTCTAATTTATATTCTTTCTTCTTTCTTTTTTAAATTATCTTTTCTAAATCTTTTAGTTTTATCAACTTTTAATTTTTCATTTTCTAGATTTTCCATTTAAATTTTATTTTGTTTTATTTTTCTTCATCATTAGTTAAATGTATTTCTCTTTTTTTTTTTTTCAACTGTTAGTTAAATGTATTTTTTGATTTTTTTTTCTTTTCAATGTTGTTACCTTTTTGAATTAAATTAAAATATATAATAATTAAAATATAATTGATGTATGATTATGAAGTCAAATTATTATATGATTGGAGTTGCCAATATATATATATATAATAGCTTAATTAGAAGTTTTTTTTTTTTTGATAGAAATTTGTTGATGGATGATTTTTTTTAAAAGATCAAACTTGGACTTAGGTCCAGCGGTATCTGATGCTATAATACATGGCTAGGTCCAAAAGTATTTGATGCTTAATGCATAGCTAAACCCAACGATATCTAATGCTTTAGTACATAGCTAAATCACTAGAAATATATAAGGAAGTCTCTTTCTTTTATTATTTCCTTATTTATTAAATTTCATCATTTTCATCAACTGATTACTATTCCTCTATGTAGGTCATCAATAAATCCATGAATCCAAGCTCATGGGAATATTTGAGATAAACTATGAAAGTAGTGGCTTAGTAGGCATGGATGGGTGAACGTTGCCTATTTGGTAAAGCGAGATATTCGTGCCAACAAAGCTTGGCGCTGATGATGTTGCCTGACTTTGCCAAAAAAGGCTGGGTGGCGAAGATGTGGAGGTTGAGCTTGGTCACAAAATTGTACTGTTTGATGCTAATTAGAAGCTTGGAATCTCGTTCAAAACCAACTAAAGAGACTATTTTGGTTACCACCAACAATTTGCAGCCATATTTAATGCAAAGGTGGCTGCACAGTGCTAAAAATTGTTGAAAAGAGTGGTTGCACAAGTTGGAAACTATTGAAAAAGATCTGACTTCATTGGGAAAATCTACCAAAATCTTGGACAGACGTTGGGAATCTTCCAATATCTTGGCCAGCCCTTGGAAATTTACCAAAATCTTGGCTAGACCTAATTTTGCCGGCTGCACTCAATTATCCCCCCAAAAATGGAATTTCGTATGACTGGAGGCATACCAGAAATATTCAATTTCCAGTCCATTGCCAAAACCAACGAAGCTTCACTAGAACCATTGGACAATTCATGATGCCACCGCTAGAGAGCTGTCAACCATGTCCAGAACCACCCAAAACGTGACAACTCACCCAAGCCCACTTGGACACCTTTGACCCATCAACCAAAAATTACAAAAATGCCATTAGCTATATATATATATATATATATTATCTTTCCTTCATTTTTCAACAAGAGAAAGACGTACAGAACAAACCAGATTTTCCACTTCCACTTTCTTCCTCACGTACCAAACTTCTATTTTCCATTTGAAAACTTCTTCATCTTCAACCTCTCACCGTATACACCAAAATACCCAGAAATCACCATTTTTACTACATTTTCTACACTTCTAGCACTGCAGAATATTTTCCAGACTTGTAGAACATCATGGCTGAGAGACAACATGTTGCAGCTTTAATTTTTGGGTAATTTTCTTGAGCATCAAAGGATTAAGCTGAAGAGTTAGCGTCAAAAATAGGATCAAGCCCTCCATTCACAAGCCCCCATAACGGTCATCATTCCTTCTCCCATCACTACTTTCAAGTTTATTCCTTTTTTTCTTGCTGAAGCTTGAAGGAGACCATTGTGCCTTTTATCTATAACGTGAGGATTGCTTATTATAGAGTAGAAGTAATTGTCAAGGATAATAGAAGGCATATTCATTATTTTTGCTATTATGCTACAATATATTATCTAAAAATGAGCTTCTCAGTTGTAATTTTTAACCCTTACATATTTTCTATCCTTGGTGCTCCTACAGCAATGTACATTTCATTTTCATTATTTTTTGGTTAAATACCCTTTTTGGTCCCTCTACTATAGGAAAAAGTCCCTTTTTGGTCCTTGTACCAAAAAAATCCCCTTTTGGTCCCCTAAATTTTAAAATATGGCTCCTATTTGGTCTTTTTGTTAAATTTTTGCTAATGTATCACGTTAATTAATGGAATTAATTGATTATTTTTTATATAAATAATATTATAAATGATATAAAAATTACGTGGACATTTCATTTAAATATTTTAATACCACATGGCAAAAAGAAACACTAAATATTTTAATTAATGAAATTAAATATTTTTTTCTCCTAAACTTCTTAATCCATGAATAAAAAGAATTTAAAACAAAATTAATTTTAATTTCTTCATCTTCTTCTTTCTCCTTAGCCTTATCCTCCTCCTCATTCTCATCCTTGGCATCCACCATCCTCTTCAAGTCTTCATCATATTGGGTTCGTCGCGGAACCCAGTTGCTAGGTTCCACGAGGAACCTAGTTGATGGGCTCTTCCATTAGGAATCCATTTTTGGGTTCCTTAAGGAACCCGTTTCTAGGTTCCTCAAGGAACCTGTTTCTGGGTTCTACGAAGAACCCAGTTTTTGTGTTCCTTAGGGAACCTAGATCTGGGTTCCCTGAAGAACCCAGTTTCTGGCTTTCCGATGGAACCCAGATCTAAGTTCCTCTGGCCCTCTTTTTGTTTCATTTTTTTTTTTTTAATTTTGAATGTATATATCTTCCATAAAAGAGCCGAATGAAACCAAAATTTCATGTTCAAATGTGTTCAATATTTGAGTTTGATATCTGGGTTTGAAATTACAGGTAATAGGTTGATGTTGTGTTCATGTTGCTATGAGTAAAGTGAAGGATCTATTTTGCATAAAGAAATTAATGTTTAAAGTATTGATAAATTATTTTAATTAATAATTAATTTTTATTTTTAACAATGAAAATATTCTTATGTATCTTGACCAATCTCATATATAAAAGATTGATTATAAATGAAAAACAAGAATTTTGAAAGAAGGAAAATGATAGCTGGAGAGGGAACTAGAAACATTGATTAGGGTTTGTGGGAGAGTCATTAAGTGAGTCATTAAAGTCCACATAAGTGTCTTTACAGGGTGGAAGGTCCATGTCGGATGTTGCTGTTAAGATAACGTGCCACGCTAGCAAAATTTAATGGAAGGACTAAAAAGGGGTCGGATTTTAAAATTTAGGGACTAAAAAGGGGATTTTTCGGTACAAGGACCAAAAAAGGGCTTTTTCCTATAGTAGAGGGACCAAAAAGGGTATTTAACCTTATTTTTTGTAGTTGTGAAATCATTCCTATTATCTTGGGAGCACCATCATCACTCTACTCTTTTTGGCTTGGTTGGAGACATTCTATTTCTAGTCTTTGCTGAGAAAGCCCTAGTTTCAAACTTTGCTGGAGAAACTCTATCTCCGAGCTTGGCTGAAGACACTCTGTTCCCAAACTTCACCAAAGAGACTTTACTTTTGAACTTCGCCAGAGAAGCTCTATTTGCGAACTTCGCTGGAGAAGCACTTTGTTCCCAAACTTTGCCAGAGAGACTCTACTTTAGAACTTCACTAGAGAAACTCTATTTCCGATCTTCGCTGGAGAAGCTTTATTTTTAGACTTCGCTGGGGAAACTTGCACCCTCAAGCTTCATTGGAGAATTTGCTGCTGACTAACATTGCTAGACATCTTAGAACTCTATCATTGCTGTCAACTCTCCCTCTCAGCCTGGCTAGAACACTTACACCTTCAAACTTTGCTGGGGAATTCACTACTGATCAACATCGCTGGGCAGAACGAGATGGCCCGTGGCACATAGTGTCTTGCACGTGAAATGGGTGCCACCAAAAGGACCCTCCTCATCATTTGTGGGTGGCATCTTAGTCAGCCTCCACATCATCATCGCTACTGACTTATCAACCTACAACACCAACACACCCCCAACAAAAATAGCAACTCCACTAGGGAGGTCGTCATAGAGCTTCGTCTTGTTCTGCTTTTCCTCAACGGTATAATATCTTTTATATTCTTCCTCAACAATATTTATTCATCTTCAGCAAGATTTTTCTGACCATGCTTGTCACGAGAGCAACTTTATCTCACATTGTTGACGGAAATCAATAGCTTGGCCAAGATGATGGACAAGTGGTTTAGCAACCATGTCCACCGATAGATGTTTTTAATGATCTCTTGCAAGGAATCACTAATCCAAGCCTTGCGTTTTTGGTCCAAGTTATCCAAGTCTTGCATGAGGATCAGCAAAGAATTACTCAACTTTTTGCCAACTTGCAAGCTTAACATACTCTACAAGACCCAACGGAACCAGTCAACATGGCTGGGATGTCACAGCCACAAGAGGTTCAGACGAGAGCTACCAATGGCACTAGGGCCTTTGCTGTGTGGCTAAATAACTTAGCACCGCTAGTAATTGCAGTCGCCAGCATCGTTGGAGCTCTACCTAGTGCAACCAACACTACTTGAGGCTTCATCACCATGGCAGATCATACTGTTCTCTTGGACAAGGAGTGTTCCAGACAAAGTTCAACCATTTTTCAGTTTGTCCATGATCCACCATACCCAAAGGAGATTTTGTCTAAGCCCTACCCAAAGAACTATGAAAGTCCTACATTCCCGCAATATGATGGGAGAAAAGGCAACGGTGCAGAGCATGTCAAAAAGTTCCTCAATGCCTTGGGGGCTTACGCCGACAATAAAGACTTATGCCTATTGACTCAATGCACTCCAAGAGGGGGGGTGAATTAGAGTTGGAGAATTTTCACTTCTTTGCAACCATCAAACAAAAATTAAAGAGAGAATGGTGAAGAAGAGCTTGCACAATGATTTTATAGAGGTTCGGTTCAACCACTTGGAGTCTAGTCCTCTACCTTGGCTTCACTCACCAAGGATTTCCTCCATACTCTCCACTAACAAAAACAATGGTGGCTTAAATGAGCCACTCAATCGTTTACAAGAAGAAAGGTGTTTCTCTCAAATCTCACCCCTTTACACTTAAACCCCAAAGATCCTCTCTATAGATCACTCTTAAAAGAATCAACATATCCCCAAGATCACTCACTAATAGCACAAGAAGAGGATTACAAACAAAGATCTCTCAAAGGTCAAAATCTCTAGTTAAAGCACAAGTTGGTAGGTAAAGATATTCAATATAATGCTCTCTTAACTTGTTCATATCTGTTACCAACCATATTTATAGCCCTTTACTCGAAAATAGCCGTTTCTAGCCGTTGGGGGTCATTAAATGCTCTGCAAGACGCATGGCTTGAGTTGCAGAATTATCAGTACAGCCGGCTTAAACTTCTAAAGCCAGCTCTGTAAAGCCAGCTTACACTTCCAGAGCCAGCTATCCGGGCTTCCAGCCCATTCCATTTTTCTTGAGAGTCGACTACAAAATTTTGAGCCGGCTTTGGAACTTCAACTTTAAATACATTAAATATTCTTCAAATAAGTTGACCGTTGTGTATTAAATACGCCATCATAGCCGGCTACAAAGTGGGAGCCAGCTCTGCTTCCATTTTTCGCGTGCGCCAAAATATCAATTGAATTTCTGGCCTATAGAGTCAGCTTAACAAAATCTGCAGCCGGCTCTTTGCATTTTTGCTTCCTAGAGCCGGCTACAATGTTATTTGAGCCCTTTTTAATGCAATCTCATTTTGCTTAATTTGCAGTATATTGGCAATTTAACTACACACTTAAATAAATCAATTAGTCACCCAAATATGTTTTGTAATCATCAAAATCATAGGTACAACAATCTCCTCCTTTTTTATGATAACAAAACCCTTTGATCATAAAAGCATATATACTTCAATATTAACCTCAAAATTTCAGCACCAAGAAAATGACATTAAGACATTAAGACATTCCAGAAAATTATAAAAATTCAGCATACTTTCTCCCCCTTTTTGTCATTCATCAAAAAGTATATAAACATAAGCAATAAACTCCCCCTTAATTCATGCTATCAACCTTTAAAGCATCAAGAATTTGTAATGAATATAATCATCAATCATCATTAATATAGCACCATAGACAACCAAAGTCATGAATACAATCATCAACCAATAAACTCCCCCTCAATAAGAGCATATAATCATCAAAATCATAGACAATCAATACCAAAAGTCATGCCACAAAGATTATATCATACCAAAGTCAAGTGCCATGAGAATTCATAATACATGATAAAAGGTTTAAGATAAAGAAAAACACAGATAAACTTAACATGCATAAGCCTAAGATGTCCATCTTAAAAATTAGCCAATACTGAAGATAGTCGAACCAGGGAAGATCACTAGCAAGTACAAAAGATTTTGACCCCTTTCTCTGAGCAATAATGCGAGATACAATCCACTGTAGTGCTATATTTTTTGGTGTAAGGGACCCCACTTTAATTTGATTTTCAATGCAATTGGGGGCAATTTTGGCTTTAACTAAGGCATGATTTACTTCCTGAAACTCATTATCTCCTCCTTCAGGTATATCTAATACAGCACAAATATCCCTTGGTGAAAACTGAAATGACACCCCAACAACCATGGTTTTGCATTTATTCCCTTTTGGTTTCAAATTCGCATAAAATTGATGAACAACTTTATAGTACAGAGGCTCTTTAATTTCTACATAATCCTTCCACCCAATTTATCTAAATATTTGTTCAACACGCATATCTTCTTGAGGAAATTGACTAAATTTTACACAATTGCAAGATAAAACAGCCATATTCTTGATAATTTCATACTTTGCAGAAGCTTGGGTATCCAAAAAGAGATTTGATTGGGAGATGTTACCTTCTTCTTGAGCTTGACCACCGGTGCTAGAACTACCCACTTGTTTCCTTTTATTTCCAACCCTTCTTGAAGCCATGAGAGAGAAAACACAGCAGCCACACCAAAAAGACAGCAGATCCCACACAAATTGGAGTGAAAAGCTTGAGGTTTTGTGTTGGGTAGGCAAGGATTTGATGGTATTTGAGTGTTTGAGGGATGGGCTTTGGAGATTTGGAGGGATTTTGGTGTTTGGGAGAATGAATAGTGAGTTTTGGGAGAGGAGAGGTCGCGAGTTTGGGTGAGGAAATAAAACAAATCTGGGCTGGTTCATGCAAGGAGAGAGAAACCCGAGGCTTTAAAAAACTGTAGGAGAGTTGGCTCTAGTCCTGGAGCCGGCTTAATTCTAGAGAGAGAAGACTCTCGGGTTTTTGGGCTGAGCCGACTGTGAAAATGGTTGAGCCAGCTCTACTGGCCTTGATTGGGACAAACAAAAAGTTTGGGGCTGTTTTGAAAAAAGCGTATCTCATTTGATATTTCTTCATTTAACTAAGTTTAAATTGAACATCAACTACTAAATTATGCAAGTCATATATCAATGTATGCATCATCAAATAGCATGAACATATGTCACGCCCCAAAACCCAAATTCGAGGTGCGACAGACGCCGTGCACTCGTGAGAGGGTCCCACAAATGCACAAGGCTCGAAACTTATCCAATTCACAATCTAATACCATCAAAATCTGAAGATCAAATTTCATAATTTGCTCTAATATTATAAATCTCCACTTAAAATCTCCAAATACAAGATCATGATTTATTTCTAAAATCTATATCAATCTCGAAATGGCTAGCCCTCTAACTCATCACTTCCCGTGGTTTCCCCATCCTCGGTTTCGCTTCCTGAAATGGTGGACAAGGAAAAACTATGCGATAAACTCAGTAAGTAAAATATGGATTGCCCTTAATTAAACGTATAGCATGCCAACAAGTATAATCACGAAAAACAGTTACAGTGCGAGAACGAAATAGATGTCTCCTCTATAGGTCACGGCCAGTGTTATAAACCTCCCACTGGCAGGCTACAGTATTTGCTGGTGTATAATCCCCACTAGAAGGGCAACAAAAACGAACCGGTTCTATCAGTAACATGTCGACATGTGCTAGCGTTTAACTCTCACTAGCAGGGTTATCAATAACATAACCATATCGGAGACAAAATAGGCAGAAGTTAACAAAAAAATCTTAATTTACCAATCACTTTCAAATCATCAGGACAATCAATTAAATTTTAAGTAGGCATGCTCAATTTAATGAAAAGCATAAAAATTTCACTTCAAATCAGTCATGCTTGTGTAAAATGGGTTTAATCCCGCCACCACTTCAAAAAACAAATCCAAACATACTTTTAAAAACTATACGAGCATTACCATAAATTTACTTATCTCACTCGCATAAAACCGAAGACTCAATCTCAGTGCTAACTGACAGAACAATCGAGAACTTAATCAAAATATCCAAGAATTAATTCTATACTATCACAAATTCAAAGTACTACCCCTAATCACGATGCTATTCCTATCAATCTCCATATTATCAGATATCTCCAAATTTATTCTTATATCACAAACTAATCATTTAAATCCCCATTAATTGTTGACCCTTGGTCTGTGAACAGTAATATGTAAACAGTGCCGCGAACAGTGCTCACGCCGTGAACAGTGACTGCACTTCCAAAAATTGGCCAAAACACTAGCTAATTCACGGGATTTTCTCTCCAAAAATCACACAGCAGTCAATTAACACTCAATCATATAAATCCCACTTGAATTAATGCTTAAATTTGTCCTAAAGCTACCGGAATTCCTCCCCCATTTTTCTGTCAAATTCGGGCAGCACAAGCAACAATTTATGGACAAAATTCAGCAACCAATTAACGAGATTTCAAGCTTGGAGGAGCTGTCAACATACCAGAATTTCTAGCTGCAGAACCGGGCCTAGTAGGGGGAGAAGCCGGCGGCAATCTGCAGGAGCAATTCACGGGGCTACCCAAAATTGGATACCAAGAGAGATTAGTGTTAAACCAAGCCAATTCAAGTGAGAAAAGAGGATTTAAGGACTGTTTTCTTACCGGAAACCAGGCCAATTCGCCTCCACAAACAAGAGCAGCCGGCGGACAGAGCAAAGCAGATCCGGATTTTCCAGCAGGGGGGAAGAATTTCTAAGCTCAAATCTAGTTTTTGGACAAGAAAATAAGGAGGAATTTAAGGCTTCCTACCAGTTTTTCTTCGTGGGAGGCTGTCGGCTTGGCTGGGGGCCTTCGGGAGCTACAGCTGGAAGAAAGGAGAAGAAGAGCAAAATCGGGCAAGGCTGGGAAGAAGAAAGAAATCCTCCGATCCTTATCCAAAATCTTTTCCCTTTTTAAGCCCCTCAACTTTGGAATTTCGATCATTAAGCCCCAACATAATATTTTTCTACAATTTAGTCCCTAACTCACGTATTTATTCTAGAAATTTTTGGGGTATTACAATATAATCAAGACACACAAATCAAAGCATCAATATACACAAATTCTAATAATCAAATTCATTAATTTCAAGAATCATATCAAGCACTAGGAAAAACACATCAAATGGAATCATACTCAACAAACGTATGTATCAAAAAGTGAGCACACATAAACCAATAATTAATAGTCATGCTAATGTGATTATACTTAATGAATAAATGCAATAGGATAAATGATACCAATTTGAGCACATGAGTGGAGCATTCAAAAACAAATTCTCTTTGCACTTTCACTCCAACATTCTTGTTGAGGCATTAGTCTTTATCAATATCAACTTTACTCTTCTTATGACTTTGCCATCAACTTTACCTACAAAACAAAATTAAGTTTTGATTTTTGGTATCCAAATTTGCTTGGGTCCATAGGGGTTAGTGCTTAAAGTTCCTTTTGGAACCCAAATTTGCTTCACTTTACCTTGAGCTATCAATCTCTTCAAAGGGCATACATAGGCAAAGTGTCCATTTGCACCACAACAATAGCAAGTAACATTAGGATGAGAGGATTGACTTGTTCTTACAAAAAGAATTCTTAAAAATCTTTTGCTTTTTAGAATAATCAAATCCAATGCCTCATTTAACATTAGGATGAGAAGATTGACTTGTCTTACAAAAGAATTCTTAAAAGTCTTTTGCTTTTTAGAATAATCAAATCCAATGCCCCCTTTGTCATAAATACTTCTTTGAGATTTTAAAATAGAATCAAAATTTTCTTTACTTAAGGTAAATTTAGAAATCACATTCTCAAGATCGCAAGCTTTTCTCTTTAAATCCTCGTTTTCCTTTTTCAAAACGTCATTTTCCTTTTTCAAAACCTCATTTTCCTTCTTTACATCCTCATTTCCCTTCTTTAAATCCTCATTTTCCTTTTTCAAAGCATCATTGGATTCCTCATTCTTTAAAGAAGCAATCTCACCATTTAAAGAGGCATTTTCTTTAACTAAAACCTCATTTTGTTTTGAAAGAGATTCAATCTCATTTTTAAGCAATGAAATGGTTTTAGTAAGAGCAAGATTCTCATTCCCTAGTTTCTTGATATCATTCATAAAGCAATCAAGAACTTTTCATAAATCATTATAAGAATACTCAAAAGAACTTTCATTAATTGAACTAGAGAAGTTAGAGTTTACCTCTTCATCATTGTAGCTATCTCTTGAGCCATGAAGCAAAGATTTGCAACACCATTCTCCAAGGAGCTTTCACTTTCCGTTGAGCTAGTTTCATCATCACTCCAAGTGGCAACAAAAGCTTTCTTCTTCATGCTCTTCTTGTCTTTCCTCTCACTCTTCTTCAATTGAGAGCATTCATTTCTATAATGCCCCATCTTGTTGCACTCATAGCATTTGATGTGCTTCTTACTTGGCTTTCCTCTATCATCATCATCATCACTACATTGTCTTCCTCTAGAATAGTGAATTTCCTTGTTTCTTCTAGAGGATTTCCCTTTGAGGCTCTTCTTCATGTATTTCTTCACTTCTTTTGAAACCAATTTGGTGATGTCCTCTTCATTGCTAGACTCATCATTGCGAGTATCATCTTCACTTTCTTCATTTTGTTTGCAAGCCTTGAATGCAACATCCTTCTTCTTCTTCTCAACTACTTCAACTCCACCATCAACTTGAACTTCTATCTCATATGTCATCAATTTTCTAATGAGATCTTCAAGCTTGAGAGTGTTGAGATCTTTAGATTCTTCAATTGCAGCCTTCTTGGCTTCCCAACTCTTAGGCAAGCTTCTAAAAACCTTTCTCACCACTTCTTGAGGAGGATAGACTTTACCAAGAACCTTGAGATTGGTGACTATATCATTCAATCTTGTATACATATCTTGAATGCTCTCTTCCGGTTTCATCTTGAAAAGCTCATACATGTAAATGAGTCTATTGATTTTTGACTCCTTTACTTGGCTTGTTCCTTCATGTGTGACTTCTAGCATGTCCCACATCTCCTTAGCTGTATCACACCCAGAGACTCTATGATATTCCGTTGGATTGAGAGCACCTTGAAGCATACTAATTGCTTTTTTGTTGATCATGATCTTCTCCAAGTCTTCATCATTCCAATCAATCTCTTCCTTTGGAACCTCTCTTTCTCCAACAATTTTCATAGGTACATATGGACCTTTCATAGTCACAACCCATGCCTTGGGCACATTTGCAAGCATGAAGACCTTCATCCTATTCTTCCAATAATTATAATTAGTACCATCAAAGAAAGGAGGCTTAGTGGTAGACAAACCTTCAGGTGGTTGAGAAGATTGAAATTGAGCCATCCCCGATCAACTCCTAGGTGGTTAAACCTTCAAATTGGAGCCCTTGCTCTGATACCAATTGTTGACTCAATGCACTCCAAGAGGGGGGGTGAATTGGAGTTGGAGAATTTTCACCTCTTTGCAACCACCAAACAAAAATTAAAGAGAGAGTGGAGAAGAAGAGCTTGCACAATGATTTTATAGAGGTTTGATCCAACCACTTGGAGCCTAGTCCTCTACCTTGGCTTCACTCACCAAGGATTTTCTCCATACTCCCCACTAACAAAAACAATGGTGGCTTAAAGGAGCCACTCAATCGTTTACAAGAAGAAGGGTGTTTCTCTCAAATCTCACCCCTTTACACTTAAACCCCAAAGATCCTCTCTACAGATCACTTTTAAAGGAATCAACACACCCCCAAGATCACTCACTAATAGCACAAGAAGAGGATTATAAACAAAGATCTCTCAGAGATCAAAATCTAGTTAAAGCACAAGTTGGTAGGTAAAGATATTCAATATAATGCTCTTTTGTTCATATCTGTTACCAACCATATTTATAGCCCCTTACTCGAAAATAGTCATTTCTAACCGTTGGGGGTCATTAAATGCTCCGCAGGAAACATGGCTTGAGTTGCAGAACTGTTAGTACAGTTGGCTTAAGCTTCTAGAGTTGGCTTTATAAAGCCGGCTTACACTTCCAGAACTGGCTATCCTGGCTTGCAGCCCATTCCGTTTTTCTTGAGAGTCGACTACAAAACTTTGAGCTGGCTTTGGAACTTCGACTTTAAATACATTAAATATTCTTCAAATAAGTCGACCGTTGTGCATTAAATGCGCCCTCATAGCTGCCTATAAAGTGGGAGCCGGCTTTGCTTCCATTTTCTGCGCGTGCCAAAACAGCAGTTGAATTCATGGCTTATAGAGCCGGCTCAACAAAATCTGCAGTAAGCTCTTTGCATTTTTGCTTCCCAGAGCCAGCTGCAATTTTATTAAGCCAGCTCTTTGCATATTTTTACCTTTGAGCCTTTTTTAATGCAATCTCATTTTGCTTACTTTGCAGTATATTGGCAATTTAACTACACACTTAAATAAATCAATTAGTCACTTAAATGTGTTTTGTAATCATCAAAATCATAGGTACAACAACGCCTATGTGAGTTTTCTAAATCTCTCTTTGACAGAGCTTACACTTGGTATCCTACTTTGCTCCCCAACTCTATTCATTCTTGGGATGAAATGGTTGAGCAATTTTTTCAAAAGTATTTTCAAAATGAGGAGCGCATCACCATTCTTGATCTTCATAATACTTGCCAACATGCCAGCGAAGATTTGGTGGTTTATGTAAAAAGATTTAGAGATTTGGCACTTGATTGCCATGGTGGCCATGCTGAATCTTTCTTGGTGGAGATCTGCATCAACAACATGCTCTTAGCATATTGTGCTGTCCTTAAAAATATTGGGATCGGTCAGTTTGCAAGGCTACTAAATGCCGCTGGGTAAATAGCCATTTCTGTCAAAGCTATCTCTGTTGGACATCTATAGTGAAATAACTAGAAAAGAAGGCCACTACTTGCACCTCAGCTGTTCATGCAAAGCGAAGCAGAATATCTAGCTTTTGAAGCCAAGAACAAAATATCCTGTAAGCAGTTTATGTCTCTTGGCAAAGATGATTATCTTACAATGCCAGACAAGTTTGGTTATCATTTTGCTTCATCGACATTATAATCTCATGGCTTCAAACCAATTGGTGGTATTATCTATTTGTACAAGTAGCATTTGAATCTCTTAGATCCGCTTATACATCAAATGCATTGCTAGCACTTGAGTCACATCATTGCCAACCTATCAAAGATGTTACTTCTCTTACATTGCTAGTATTAATGCCTTTTTAAGGCCTGTTAGCGATGTTATGTTTCATGGCTAATATTGGTGCCTTTTCAAGATATGTTGATGATGCATCTTCCAGGTCTACTAGCAGTATCATCTTTCTTGGCCAATGTTGCTGCATCATTAAGGCTCACTGGTGATGTTATCTTTCATGGTCAGTATTAATGCCTCTTTAAGGCCTGCTGGCGATGTTATGTTTCATGGCTAGTATTGATGCCTTTTCAAGACATGCTGGCGATGCATCTTCCAGGTCTATTAACAGTGACATCTTTCTTGGCTAATGTTGCTGCATCATTAAGGCTCACTGGTGATGTTATCTTTCATGGCCAGTATTAATGCCTTTTCAAGGCCTGCTGGCGATGTTATGTTTCATGGCTAGTATTGGTGCCTCTTTAAGACATGCTGACAATGCATCTTCAAGGTCTATGAGTAGTATGACTACATCTTCAAGGCCTACTAGCAATGTTATCTTTCATGGCTAATGTCAGTGCCTCTTTAAGACTCGTTGGTATTATTATTTTTCATGGCTAGTATTTCAGCCATCCTTGGTTTGTTGGAAGCATTCTTATCTCTCGCGGCTAGTATTCGTGTTACATCAAGGCCTACTATCGATGTCGCTTGGTTATCTCTTGGGTAGCATTTGTATCACAATAAACTTATTATGTAATGGTGGTTCCTCTCCCATGGTCAGCATATATGTTGCCTTCGACTTGCTAATGGAGTGTTCTTATATGGCTAGTACTTGATGAGTACTTTGATTGAATGCATCGACACTGGGGGCTGAAGAACATGGCTGCTTATAGAACAAATGGATAAGGCTCATCAGCATAATTATTAGTTGTTTCAACACCATTCTAGTGAAGTGGGTGACTTATCTGGGCAACTTTGCTGGTGACTTCGCTGGGCAACTTCATTAGGCGACTTTGCTGGACAACTTCACTAGGCAACTTTGTTGGAACCCAAGCACTCTTTTTCTTGGCTGAGTAATTTCAGATATGCCTCGACTGATTTCAACGTCACCTCCAACTTAAGCATCAACTCTTTCATATCAGCCAAGGATTTCTGCACATTTTCAACATGCTTTGCTGGCTTGTCAATCTTCTCATCCTAGTTGCCAGCCATGTCACTTCTAGCCATGTCGAACTTGCCTTTGTCAAGGTATGCCTTTGCCAGCCTGAATTCCTCCAACTTTGAAATTTATGCTCTTAGCGTCATTTATGGCATCTTTACACAAATAAAAGAATTCCTCATCCATCTTAACAAAGGGAGTTACTTCCATATGCTTCACAGCCACACAAAGATTTATGGAGGCATTCTCAATCATTACTTTCTTAGCCTTATTGTGCATGTTGTCTATGTCACTCAACTTGGTTGGAACCGAGAAGGACTTGTCTCTAGACATGATTTTTCTAGAGCTAATAGCCTTCTTTGATATACTCATGGTTGGTTCATCAACATTTATCTCGTCTTCGAGGGGAATGGAATCTTTTGAAGCCACAGCCAAGTATGGCATACCTTTCTCTAGCACAGCTTTTTATGCCAATTTTAACATCAGACATGTCATCATCTTCATCGCCACCCTCATGGTTAGGCTTATGGTTTCCTTTTGATGCTTCATCATTCTTGGTGGATTTCACATCACTATCTTTGCTGGACTTTGGGTTAGGCCTCTACAGCAGCTTTCTTGTCTTTATCTTCACTAGCAGCTACTTGAATCCCAACCATATCATCCTCAACATTTGGCAAAGCAAGCAAGAACCAACTGTCCAACAAAGATCTTATTTTCTGAAGAAAAGTTGGAGACTTCTTTAATGCCATGACAATATCATCAGCTTCAAAAGAAGGTGATTCTTTGAACTTGCTCTATTATCATAAAAATGGCTACGCGAGAAATGTGATGGCTCCAACAATGGCAAAAATGCTTCATGGTTGTTAAAGAACAAAAAGAGGGCTGGAATGCATAATAATAGGAGTTTTTGGGATTAATCAAGCATCTTTTGAAAGTTGAGAGACTAAATTGTAAGAAGAAAGGTGCTTCCTTGGACCTAAATGAATGAATCTTAAGTTTTAGGATCTAAGTGCCCATTGTACGAAATCTAGAGGACTAAATCTACAATTTTACCATTGAAGAAATTGCAAAAAGAAGGTAGAAACCCGACATGGGTGTAGTGTCGATACATGACTCACAGTGTCGATACCATGTGTTCAGCGTCCAAAATTCAAGTTTTTTATTCTCTTCTTGTCTGCATCTACACAAAAGGCAAAAGTTTTAAGCTACGCTTACCTTCAACCAAGCCAACTATGCTATCAAGCAACGAAGGCTCATTTGCTTCACCAACAATGATCTTGCAATAGATTGCAGGCTTCGTCAGAGCTTTTTTCATATTCTTCGCCAGAGCCTCATCCATGTTCTTCATTAGAGCCTCCACATTCTTGCCCTCCTTTGCCTTGGATGAAACTTCATCATTACTAGGAACAAGAATGGAGTCCAGCCTTTTGCCAAAGGTTGGGGGCTACACATATAGCCCTTCGCCAGAGGTTGGGGGATGTGCATACAGCCCTTCGCCAAAGGCTAGGGGCTGCACATTCAAACAATGACTCACATATGATGGTTTTTTTAGTGAGGTCAACAACGATAGAAAGCTTATTTATTATGCAAGGAAAGCTCATTAGTGCCCACACTTGCCTTATCTTCATTTTCCTTGGGCATTTTAGCTTCATGAGGCATGGATGCTTTCACTTTGATTTGTTGGTTGGCCAACGAAGCACCAGACTTGTGAGCTTCACTCTTGGATGGCTTAGCCATACTCCTTTTATTGCCTGATGCTGGTTTCTTGGAAGAAATTACTTGGCTAATTTCACCTACAAATTGCACAAACAACATAAGTGCAAAATCTCTCTATTATATCCAGCCATGCCAAGACCTCAAATGAAAGAAGAATTGAGCCTTAAAGAAAAAATGGAGAAGTTCATTTACCTCCAGCCTCAACATCGCTAGCTTGTTGTCTTTGCTCTTCGCTAGTACCCTTGCTCTGGCCATGTTCATCTCTCCACATTCTAAGCATAGGCAATCACACAGTGTTTTTGCTTTATATAACTACAACGACATCAGCAATATAAGGCCTTACTACATATGGTTGTAGCAACATCAGTGGTATAAAGCTTCATGGAGTTCCTAATCAGAGCTATTTAAGAAATTGGGGGAATGGCATCACCATTGTTGGAACTCCAACGATGACGTGACTAAGGCTAACCTTCCAACCATATATCTATAATGTTCAGAGTCATCACTCGGCATCATCATCAACAATATTAAATTTCTTGGCTGGAGTCTTGCTCTAGCCATGCTTGATCCTATCCATATCAAAGCATCGTCATCAGCAATATCAGATTCCTTGGTTGGACTATTACTCTAGCCATGACCGATTCTATCCATGTTGGAGCATGATCATAGATCGTGTCAGATTCCTTGGCTGAAGTTTTACCCTGGCCATGCTCACTTTTATCTTTGTTAAAGCTTCATCAACAACACCAGATCTCTTGGCTGGAGTCTTGTTCTAGCTGTGTTTGAATCCAAATCTAATGAAGCTTTATCAGTAACATCAAATTTCTTGGCTGAAGTTTTACTCTAGTTGTGTTGAACTACTCACAACACATCTACTTCGACAAGAGGGTTCACATGACTTGTCTCTACAATAATGCTGTGTTAAATTTCTTACTGATGACCACAATGAAGTCAACATCGCCAAAAACAATGCTTAACATTATTCTCTTATATATTGTCGGAAGTGGCATTTACCCATTTCACTAGGAATGATATAGACATGTTCTACTTCAACAACATTTTCTTGCACATGGCCAGACACGGCTACATTATCTGCATAACATGGCTAAGCATTTTTTACGGTCATGTTCTCTACAGTAATATTTACTACTACATCTTTCTAGCGACATTTATCTCCGTGACATGGCTGAGCATTTTTTACGACCATGTTTACTATTGCATCTCTTTGGCTCCCAGCAATGGATAAAGAGCCTATTTTGCTACATGGCTCCCATCAAAGGACAACGAGCTAATCTATATAGCTCCCAGCGAGGGACAATGGGTTAAGCATCTATTTCTACATATCTTTGTCACTGGTTCCCATCAATGGACAACAGGCTGATTCTATTACATCTACACAACTCCCAGCGATGGACAAAGGGCCAAATTTACTACATATTTATCTCACTGGCTCCTGAAAATGGACAAAGAGTCAGCGCAACTTAGTATGATTAGCGTGAGGTTGGTAATAGTTGCAACCTTGCAATCGGATGGGATGGCTACCCTCCAACGATAAAAATTCATCAAGTAACGACCGATGATCCCTTGGTGGTCGCCCATGCATAGTGGTGCAGTGCTCGGAGGGAAACAACAACCAGGACCACCCTCTAATGTGTGGGTATGGCAAGAAGGGCCAGCGTTTATCAATGGTATCACACCTTGTCGTATAGGAGGCCATGGATGCGGTTGGCGTCCCCCTTCCATGGAGACAACTCCACCTCTCTTTATACATATCCATCATTATGGCGAAGTCTAGTTTGATGAGATTTACCGCTTCGCAACTTGGCGGATTAGT